TAACTTTCTGGGTGTTATTGTTGATGACAAATTGACTTTGAAATTTCACATTGATGAAATTGTGCCTGAAGTGTCTAAAAGTATAGGAGTGATTCTTAGACCTAGGCATATTGTTCCACTTGAAGTTCTGAAAGCTATTCCTACTTCACTAATTCTTCCTTATTTTTCTTCTTGTATTGTTGTCTGGGGAAATACTTTTAGAACGTACTTAAAAATTAATTGTTCCCCAAAGGAAAATTGTTCGTATCAAAACAACCTCATCATTTGGGCTCACAGTCAACCAATCACACAAAATTTAAGTGTTTGAGCGTTGTTGACCTTAATACAAGCAAGCTTTTTTTAAGTACAATTTGCAACATACTGCCACTCTCCTATAGCCAAATGTTTATAACAACTTGCAGTTTTACACAATAACATAACCAGAGCAACATTTAATTTATCCTTGCACATACCTCAACACAGAAAGACTGTTTTTCAAACAAGCTAAAATTTTCTGAACCCAAAATATGGAATTCCTTGCCGCTGTCTCTTAAACAGTCAACTTCCTACCATATTTTCTAGCGCAAACTGAAGTTATATCTCCTGTGATTTCTTACCAGATGGAAACTGGTCCTATAAGTGATGGCGCATTCATAAATCCAAAATGCTTTCATTTTCAAGAAAAAGCATCATACTTTTTCCAACGATCTTGCAGATGGACGAATTTGGAAATATCACAACTATTAATGGGTGCAACTAAAATGTATGTGCTGCTTGCATCCGGTGCAGAAGTCTATATCAACGGGTAACAAAGTTGCCAACACGCCTTCAGTACGCTTGAACACACTGCCAATTCACAGAATAGGAATAAAAACTGTAAAAATGTACCCAGGAATGTAGTGAAATTTGTCTGGTAAATTCCAACACTGGTTTCACTTTAAAATCTGTATTTGGTAATCAAACACAATCTTGCTATCACTTTGTAAACAATGTTAGATGCATTTAATGTTCAGTTCTTGCACATCACTGTCCAATGGCTACACACTATCCATCAAAGCCCTAAACACAGTAATTTAGCAAGAAAGTGTGTAGAGAAGTGTTTAAAGGCTGAACACAGTTTTGCAGTGTTCACAAAATACGTCTTTAATGAAAAATGGACCAAATTTTTGTCAGTAAAATGCATTCAAAAGTTGGGAAGACACTGTCTAATGAGGGCTGTGCGCCCTGTCACCGGGTTTTATATGGACCTTACACCACTGACACACCACTGAAATTTTGTGTCCGTATGGTGTATCATTTTTATTTCGTCAAAAGAAATACAACAAAACTTGAGTTTGACAATTTTAATAAACGGCCCCACAAACTGGCTTCAAACCTTTCGTATCACTGAGCTCACAGTTAATAACACGACGAGACAGTCCCCTTTCAGCGAAGCGTGGCTTATGAGGAATGAAACAAAATGTTCCCAAATGAATAGAACTTATTTATGAGGCTCCTCGCTATGGTCATCTGAGGGAAACGTTGATTCGGCAGACCACGCTGTAGTGATCACAGATTGACCCTTCAACATGGTGCGGGATCGGGCAACTGAAAATCTTTTTCCACCGATCGGTTGCCCAGGTTACGGGTTTTTGACTTTCAGACGAACCACTCGAGTCGTGAGTGCGTTCCGCTTCATGATCACCCACTCTCGACCTATTTTCCCATCCATACCGACATGTTTTTTTCCTGTGCACGTTATAGTCACTGTAAGGAAGTTTATATCTTACTACCGCGCTTCGCAGAAACACTCAGAGAGGAGTATTATTACTGAAATATTGGTACAGCTCATAACAACATTTTAATACTAATTCCAGTTAGCTGCTTTTACGGGGAAGAAGGCTTGGTTTAAATAGTCTGCTCCCCCCGCTGTTCTTCGTCATTAACATAAAAACTGAATTGGATTCGCTGAAGTAAATAAATAAAAGAGAGGTAGGTTGGGTCACTGGCTTGAGCAAATGAGTTTAAGAAAATGTTCTGCTCAATAATTTCCGACGGAACACATATTTCTAAGAATTCCTATAGTTTGCATCCTGCGTGGCATTTTAAAAATCTTACCATGAAATCATCGGGATTTTCGGAGAGATTTGATTTAATTGTCGATGCAAAATACGCCCTCTGTGGAACACGGCAAAGTGCAGTACAAAGACTGCAACGAATGATTAATAGCCGAAATGAAAATCATATCCTCGATAGAGTAGCGACTCATTCAACCCCTTTCCTAAAATACATAGGGCCCCCTTTTGGACTTTTGTCCAAAGTTTCATTACAGATTTCTTTTGGGGGGGGTTATTTCCAACGAATTTCTGATGGTAATTTTGTTTGCATTTCCTTCAGTGTCCTACTTCTTGCTGGCGTTTCCACAGATAATGACTGTAAAAAAATTAGATAGAATTCAATTTCAAAGGAATTTCTTTGGGTCATCACCGTGATAAACAAATGCAGTGTAGTAAAGACATCTCTACTGATATCACGAAGGAAGCGCCAGTTTGTTGAACACGAACGGAAACGTTGTGAACCAGCCCAGAACCATTCCAAATTCAATGCTCATAAGAACAGCTATACTGTCGTATTAGTAATCAACATGTTGCACTGCATGACAAAACTTTAATTCATTGGGCCCGAGCGGGACCAAGAGTGGGTGCAATTTCCCACGAAGGAAGGCTCCTTTGGCGGGAACTCCACTTTGCTGGTTTCCGAATGACTATGGGATACATGCGTTGTGTATGCGTCCGGCCCTACCAACAAAACAACACTCCCCACCAGCATGGCTCTTTTTAACCGATAAGGGGATGCTTCTGCTCAAGGCGGAATTTCGAATGCCACCAGTGCCTAGGATCATTATTTAAAACACCGTAAGTACGAAATAGTAATCCGTAAGTACGGTTTAGTAATACGAACGTACGAAATAGTAATCCTTACGTACGAAAAGGTAATCCGTACGTAATAAATAGTATTCGGTACGCACGAATTGATTTTTATTGTTACCATGTCCTGAATATACTTCCATAAGAATATCTTGTTAGTATAACATAAAAAATTGACAGTAAAAGATGCTGTCCCAAAACAGCAACTTTTGAATTGCCAATTGACAATAATCTACTGATAAATAGCAGACATTTTTTAACACCTTAGGTGAGTAACTTCAACGTAAAATCATTTATTAACTTGAATAATTTCTGCACGGACACATTGAAACTACTTTCATCACAAATAATGGGAACTTTCGAGAATGGGAACAAGTATATACATGTATATACAAATCAATCTTTATATCACTGACTGTGTGGGAACTTTCAATTTATGAATGCATTTATGTATCGAGTTGTAAAATTTAATTCTATAAATATGTTTAAACGGAGTAATTTAAGCAAGTCAAACATCACAAACACCTTTGACTTTTGTGTGCCTTTCTTTCTTTCTTTCTTTCTTTGTTTTGGGTTTTTTTGGCTAAATAAATCAATCTTATTTAATTTCATTTAATTTAATTTAATTTAATTATGCATCTGAGAAGTGAGGGACTCTTTCGTGTGAGATTGCTTTGATTTAGCCTGTGACACAAAGAATCGATCCAAATTTGTTAAGGAGATCATCTATTCTGTATAACGGAATGGAGGGGCATTTTTACTCTATACACTGGAAGCTTGAAATATTAGAAAAACAACATTACACACAAACTTGCCGACATGAATAAATGTGGCCATACACCACAGCCCAATATTCCTAACTGACTTTGGATGGTTGGCAAGACAACGTTACATCTAGCAGGTACCGACTGCGCATTCCCTCGTGCCTCTTAGCAGAATTTACCATCCAATTAGCCAAGCGCGGATCAGTTACTTGATTTAATTCAGGGACGCGTTGGGGCCGATGCGTCAATTTCACGCGGTGGTGGCTAGCGATTAGGTAGTGCGCGGCCCCCGAAGAATTTAAGCACGAATGGAGATGGGCTGCTCTTTCCACGCCGATATAAAAAGCAATGTTTCAAAGTACAACCTGAACTGAATATTACCTAGGGAAATATTATGATACACTATTTACAGAACAAAAAACATTTTCAATCAAATGTACTAGTACTGAGTCATTCATAGTTTATTTCGACTGAATCTAAAACCTGTTGTGCATTTCCTATTGGTAACAAAACAAATTCATAATGATGATACGTTTTCATACAAAATTTAATCACAACTCGTTTTCAACTGCCACTCTTTTTTCTGAACAGTATCAATTAGTAGCCTTCCTGTCATTTTTTTTGGAAAAAGAACTAAAAGGAATATTATTCTTTCCATTTTGATTTTCAAGGAACTGATCATGTCAGCATTTCCCAATATGTGCATGATTACTGCTGCATCGGATGCACTCTTATTAAAAAAAAATACAAAATCCAGTGGAATATTCAATTTAATTTCGTATGGGTAGAGAAACCGATAAAGTACACCACAACGTAGTCGAGGGTTTTGTGCTTGCCGAAAGCAGAATGGCGATCGTCTCGCCTTATTTCGAAAAAAAAAACAGTATGAAGACAAGTTCTTGGCTTTTCGTGGTTAAAAATCTTTTTCTAAAAAAATGAGATGATGAGGATCTTTGAAAAGAACGAAAAGCCTCCATTTATCAGCTCTATAATTCCTTTCCACTATAAAATATCTATATCAATGAAATCAGATTGATTTCAGTAATGACAGTAAATTTCTAACATATGCGCAATTATTTGCATTTTGATAGAACAATTTTAAAGCAAGGCTACTGGGTATGGTCAATACTATAGATTTAGAAGAAAATGTACTTTCGTGACAGTTTAAAAAGGTTATGATACTGTCAACAAAGGTAAAGGTAGACAATACATTTAATATTTGAGCCTATATGCCGTTATCATTGTGCTCTTTATGTAAAGAATTCTTTGATAAAATACAGATTCCACACAGTCACTGACTTTTGTGACACTCTTCCAGATTACGAAATACGCATTACAAAAAAAGACTTACCAGCTGGATGGGATTGTTGATGTCATCATCGATGTCTCCATTGGTCACGTACCTTTCTGCGGTCACGTGGTTCATGTGCCCACCTGGTGCCTGTTTTGCGTCTCGCCGGTTCCCAGTCGCGACACCGTTGGTTACAGGCATGGATTGGCAATGTGTGATGGCTACAAGTGAACTCATCAATGCTCAAGGTCTGAATTGTACCTGTTTGAGGTCCAGCACCTTTAAAGTTTGGAGGGAAAGTTAACTCACACTTCAAATTTGTGCATGTGAACCTATCAACAAGAATGTGAACGATTATTTGTTAAGCCATAGCTCAGCTATCAGAGTAATTTCTAGAACTGATAATGCCAAATAATGTGGAATATTTGTGGTATTATTAACAGTTTACACACCTGTTGCAAATTCTGAGGTCATAGGAACTACTACTTCGTTGCTTGCATTTAGCAACAAACTCTAAGAACGAACAACGTCTCGAAGAACATGCAGAATGACATTGAGATATTGGTTTAGACGTAGAATGGAGTAAACGATATCTAAAATAAAGAATGGCACTGCTCTTTCATAGTTTGTTTGTTTCTTCGTCAGAATTGTGTGGAAAATGTTTCGGTAATTTCCGGTTTTCGATTTCCCCTAAGAATTGACAATACTGTGTTTTCACTTGCCCAAGTAGTGCCTCTAAAGAAGTGATATTTTTTAATCAAGAGGACGTCTGTACATGTACAATTTTGACATCATCTTACAGGAAAAATGGCATTATTTGATGAGGCCTGTTTTTAATCACCACCTAAAAATAAACGGAAAACACTATTATGCATCCGAACTGCTCATAATACCTCCCTTGTATGCATAAAAGCACCTGCATTTATCCTAATTTTTTTAATTTGCCACATTCGATGGCTATAGAACGGTCTCAGAATAGGAAATTAAAGTCTGGTTTGTGTTGATATTTAGACGTACATCCGTCATTTCAGCTGCGAAAAAAAGACGGCGATTCTTTCCTTTCATGGCGCCACGAGATGGTAAGGAGAAACCTGAATTGTTGTTTTCTCCGGAACGTTGTGGGTAATTTTACGCGGGGAAATATTCCATAAAAATGGTGTCGCTCATTGACGATTTCTGACTGATGGTGTGCGATCATGTGCCCAGAAAGGTCCAATATGGGCTACAGGCTTGAAATGAACGCACAAGCATTTTGTAGTGAAGGCTGAAGTGTTGCTTATTTGGGCAAAACTAGATCATAAAAATCTGATTTGAAATCGGAACTTTTCATTCTTTCCCAGAGTGAACGTAACGGCAAATTATAAAAATGACATTTAATCATCTCTCTGATATGGCCCAGAAGATCTTTCTTGGTATCAAATGTTGTTAAATACAACATCTATTCTAGTTGATTTTGTACAAAAGTTTATAGTTCTAATTTGTAAAGCTGAAATTATAACACAGATAATGCAACCCATCCCTCAGTTCACGACCTTTAGCATAAACTTAATAAAACAAGCGTCTGTGCTATTTCAGATCGGCAGTCCATTGCACGTTCCACAACAGGAGCTGGTCATTGTGTATATGCCTTATAGTCCTGACCTTTTACTTTTGACCTTATCAATTAAGATGGCGCCAACGCAGAAAACTGAACTGTAGTTGATCGCTCGGAGACAATTGTTAGACAATTCGAAACTGAGAAGCAAGTAACCACTTGTTAAGCAATTCTCACAATCACATCTTCTTTATAATGGAATTTGGTAAGTGGCTTTGTTGTTTAACGATGATAGCTCCCTTAAGAACAAGGAAATGTATGAAGCGATAGGGTACAGTGACAGCTATGCGTCATTCGTAAAGATTCACAAGAGTCGGGAGCATTTTCAGGGAGCTACATTTCGGCGTGAATGACGTCATATCTAAGTGATTGACGCCGACAAGTCTGCTTCAACCCTTTTCGATGTATTCCAAGACACACTTGCGCCACTATTCATTGTGAAACAAAACACGACAATGACTGGACACTGTCACTCATGCATTATCACATTTTGGGAGGAATCCCTCTCGACTCGGCTTGCGCTCTTTTCCTTCGTATCACCAACCATAAGTATGCAAGAAGCCGGCCAAATCTCTAAACATGTTAACTTCAGGACGAAGCCACTGGCTAAAATCTGAAGAATTTCTTTCAAGCAAAGCTTTGTTCCAGGATTTTAATTAAGATGGTCTGAAATCTCTTTCACTAGAGTAGTGATTAATAAAAGCAAATCCAACGGTCGGCAACTTAAATTACCAAAGGGCTAACTCAAAGAAATTTCCAGACATTTTATGCTCCGGAGCAAATGTTATTGATGTCACAGCTTTCAACTGAATAGTTATGCTTGGACTGAAAGGTATCATAACTCTACTTGCCATGAAACCCAGATAGATTCGTAAAGCCACATTTTTGCCGCTGCGGCTGAAGACCAAGCGTTCCATTTAAGTTTCCGTATCAGGTAGGATAAACCATTCCAATGTAAGCAAAACCAGTATTAGTAGAATTACTTGATTATTGTTTAGGTAAAACGTCTTAATGAAAATTAACGACAGACACCGGTGTTTTATTTGAGAAAAAGAAAGATATTTTCTGTAATTTCCCTCGAATAGGTTCAGCTCAGTGCACGGAAGGGATTGAATGCAGCTCAAACCAAACAGTTGCTTCCGAAAGAGCGCCCCCGTAATTGATGGGAGACTGTTGCTCTGATCGATCTTGCGTCAGGGCAGAATTGGATCAACGGAAGTGTATACGCCCCGACAGGCAGCAATTTGATATCAGTTGCCTTGATGGCAAAAAAGGACAAGAGTGAAGAAGAATCTGAGGTTGCACAAAAAATAATTCGCCCATGTTTCTTATCGTTCAAAAATAAAAAAATATCTGTACTGCGACGCCTAATCCAAGTTTTCTATAAATTATTGTTTTTTCTCAACACCGCTCAGAATCAAACTAAACAACCATTAGGTTTTTTATGAAGGCAGGAAAAACTGATGTTTGATTGATGTATGCATTTTATTCTGCAATCACATTTGAAACTGGCACATTCTAAAGAGCCGGAGTTAAAACCTGGAGCATTCAATTCCGTCCTCTTCTAAAATCTCAGTCTAAATAGAAAATGGAGAATTTTGTGGGGAAAATGATTATAAGGTTTCCTTATATTAGTATAATGGCTCCAGAGTTAACTATTCATTGCTACTTATTTTGTGTCAAAAATGTACCAAATGAAGCGTTACTCAGGCTAATTGGGCCATGAAATTCGAAATCCTCGTGACGTTTTAAAGTCATGCATTGACAGAATTAAGACTTTGTGTCTTCCATGTTACAACGCATGTTTTTTTTAAACCTACAGGTAGGAAAGGCCCCTAGTGCTATGAAGTATACATTTTCAAAAAAGAAAGTCTTTTTAACTGCATTTTACATGTGTTTCCATTTTTGGAAGCATTCGTTTCATGAAAAATATTTTTACATTGCGCCTCGTGAGTTGTAGGAATACCCTACTGGCTTACACAAGTCACAGCAAACGGCGTCAATTCCCACCTCATCTCCTGAATTTACCCTTTCGGAAAAACAGTCTCATGTTTTTTCCTTATCAAACACGTCTGGTATATCTCCCCAAACCAATTTGAAAAATATGTATCAAAAAACAAACCTGACTAAAAATTGCTTCATTTTTATCTTAAATCACAAACAGTGCTTTTCAAAATAAATCTCGTAAAAACCAACTTGAAGAGATGTATTTCGTGAAAACAAATTGTGGGAAAATAAATCTAGTAAAAATGAACGTGAAAAAAATAAATCTCGTAAAAATGACTAAAAAAACAAACTTTAGAAAATACTTAATTTAAAATTGTATACATCATGGCATTAGTGGGGTTTTGTATTTAGGTCTATTCTTTCAGTAGATTTGAGTTTGTTGCTCGTAGACTGTAATTGATACGGTCTTGAAGTTAGTACATACGCGAAGTTAAAAATTTGCACTTGTTTCTGCTCTGAGAGAGACAAGTTAAGTGCAGCCACCCCTTCTTTACGTTTGCAAAAAAGCGAAAGACTAGTGGAAAAACCCAGTATACTAAAATAACCGTGAAGCTGGAACATCAACCGGTTTGTTCACAGTTTTGTTGAAACTATTCCGAGCCTTTTGCGTAGCATTGTGTCTTTGATCAACACTGACTATGAAAATTACTACATTACTATGAAGCACGAGTTAATCCTATAACTTTATTGACCATGGTTAGCGGTTTACACATAAAACCCCACAAGTCGCATTCCCTCCCTGTCGTTCCCATGAACAGAACCCTTTTGTAACTCGGAAACTTCTCAAACTTTTACGCCTGTACCGTGCGTGCTCGCCCATTACATGTTGCAATTATCTCGTTTCAACATTATCGATTTCATTAATGTCTCGGTGCTGGGTTTACTGTTGCTATGGAACCTTAAGTCCGGAACTATCTCGTTCAAAGAATTTTGTTGGACGGTATGGGCGAGACTTCGTGTCGATCTAATCGGGTATGAGCAGTACATTGAAAAAACAGAATACAGTATAGAGTTGAGCGTCAAGTGGAATTTTTGACGTTTTGCTGATAGTACATAAATCATCTGAATCGTTAGGGACACTGTGGGTTTTGATTTCGACTCTGTTCATGTTGAATACAGATATAAATTTTATAATAGACTGATAATAACGGTTCTACTAAGATCGCCGTGATACACAGCCAAATGTAATGAAATCAATCAAGGCATCTCCTTCTGTGGACATACATTAGGCAAAATATTCACACAGGACATACATCAAAAATGACGTTTCGCTTCTTTTCATCAACCTTGGTTTGTCACAGACTGCTTGGTACAACTGTTCCTCGTCCAACCCCTCATTAGACAGCGTGCGCGCATAATTGCTCTCTCAGAGACCCAGTCCTGGACGGAAGACACAGAACCAGAACATTCGTAATAATCTATGATGATCTGTGGCATATTTATTGTTGTACACTTTATTCCAGACTCTTCGCGCATTATTTCGGAAGTTCACTGTTAAATTCAAAGAGCTCTCTTTCAGAAAGCATTTAATTGCCGTTGCTTTTAACCTTGTTCTTGAAATTCAATTGCGTGTTCATAAGCAAGACCCTTAACAGCACCACGGTAGGAATTGCCCAATTTATGATGACCCTCAATATTACGGTAAAAATGTGTGGTTTCATGTGTACGTGGGTTACCA